CGATCCAGGGACTCCAGGATCATGACCTGAGCCGAAGGCAGTCGCTTAACCAACTGAGCCACCCAGGCGCCCTGCATCTTTGTTTCTTTAGTAATTGTTTTTTTTTTTTTGCTTTTGTAAAATACTGTAGAGAGTTTGAACTAATATTGTGGAAGTTTAAAACATTCTTTGCTCTCTATTTTTGGCCTTCTGTTCTCTTCTTTCACTTTTCTTGCATATGACTCTTTCCTTTTGAATATCTTGCTCTCTTTTCCATTCATGTTAAATCTGGAAGTAGCTGTTTTAGAGCTGAGGTGGATGGGTTGGTGGAGTGAATATATACAAGGTCTTATTCACCTTTGGGCACCATTATTTAGATACTTTGAGATTGAGGCAGGAGTTTTAACTGCAGGGAGTTTGAATACATTTTGGTGTGTAGTTGGTATTGCTAGGCAGAGAACTGATTGCATTCAGAAAAGGTGTCGGCGGAGAGAGGGGAAAACGGACTTTGTTTCTTGTCAGGTGAATCAGCGAGAATGAATGCTTGCTCCCAACCTCTTCTGGATGTCTAAGCAATTGATGGTATAGGGATACTAAAATTGGAGGACTAAAGTAGTCAAAGGCCTCAAAAATCTGGATCCTGCTCCTGATTTTTCTCTAGTGCTAGAGGAAAATCACTAATCTTTTTGTTTTGTTTTGTTATTTAAGGTTTTACTTATTTATTTGAGAGAGGGAGAGAGTGAGCACGAACAGGGGGAGGGGCAGAGGGAGAAGCAGACTCCCTGCTGAGCAGGGAGCCCAGTGTGGAGCCCTTTGTGGGGCTGTATCCCAGGACCCTGGGATCAGGACCTGAGCCAAAGGCAGACACTTAACCAGCTGAGCCATGCAAGCGACCCTCCTTTTTTTTGTCTTATTAATGAGGTGAGGGGCATGGAAAGGGTGACACTGACATCATGAGCTAAGAATGGTTCCCCCCTGAAATTGTGTAGTCATGTCCCACAAGAACAAAATTGGCAGCCTTGGACTTGAACCAGTTTTATGAACTCTGTTGCAAATTGTTAAAATAATTAAAATAATTAAAAAAATATATTTTTTTGAAATAGAAGAAAAAGAACAAATCCTTTTTGTCAGAAATGTGTAGAAAATGTTGCCTCACATTTTTCCATTTGTTCCAAAGGATTTTCTGCCATTAATATTTGGAAGTGTTAAATTGGCCTCATAGCTCATTAGGAATTTAATTTGACGATCAAATATGGATAAGACTGGAGTAGCAAGTTTACTATTTCTGTAGCTCTTTATTGTTTACATTTCTTTTTACATTATTTTCAGTTTTTCTCTTTTAAATTCTCTACAATCCTGTAACGATAGGTATGTGACATGAAAAATGTAGTCTCAGAGGTTGACTTGACCCAGGTATCAAAAGACCGCCAGAACTCAGACCTGGGTCTTCTGTTTCAAGCTCGTTGCTATTTCTACTATAGCATACTTGTATTCTGTGAAAGAAATGTTTTCTTGGGCAGTATCTCTGAAACATACTTTGAAGTAGGATAATGGCAGTTAAAAGTCAAAAAATATATTTAAAACTTGGGGGATGAGAAAGTAGAAGCAGATACAGTAATTACAATATGTATTTCTATAATGAGATAGTATTTTATTTTATTTTTCTTACATATATATTTTAAAGATTTTATTTATTTGAGAGAGAGAGCATGAGAGAGAGAGAGAGAGAGAGCATGAGCAGGGGGTGGGGGTAGAAGGAGAAGCAGACTCCCTGCTGAGCAAGGAGCCTGATGTGGAACTGGATCCCAGGACCTTGGGATCATGACCTGAACTGAAGGCAGATGCTTAACCAACTGAGCCACCCATGTGCCCTGTAATGAGAAAGTATTTTAGCTGGAATGTTTTTGGTTGCTTGATTTAGCAGCAGATTAATTTTTTTCCAGGTTAATATTTTTAATCTGTTATATATCCCCAAAGATGCCCAATAAAGTGAATTATAATTCTGAAAATTGTACTGATTTGAGAATTTTCTCCTGTAATTTTTATTTTCACATTTTAGGCTTTATCAACTTTTAGAAGGAGAGAATAAGAAAAAAGAATTATTTATAACCCATGGAAACCTGGAGGAAGTGGCTGAGAAATTAAAAAAGGATGTTTCTTTAGTACAAGATCAGTTGGCAGTATCTACTCAAGAACATTCTTTCTTTCTGTCGAAACTGAATAATGATGTGGACATGCTTTGTGATACTTTGTATCAAGGAGGAAATCAGCTTTTGCTTAGTAATCAGGTGAGTGCTCGCCACAGTAACTGAAAATGCTGTAAAAAAATGTTTTTTGTAAAAGATAATAAAGAAAATGTTAACACGAGGAAAACACTATTCCAAATCCTATTGCCCTACTATAAAATTTATTTTTTTTATATCTTAGTTTTCGTTCACATATAAATATATTTTTCAGATGGTTTTGATCAATGTCAACAGAATTTTAAGAACTTACAAAATATTTCAGACAAAAAAGGATATGTAATGTTTACACTAAGAATTTAAAGAAAAAAATCAAACCACCCCTGTATTTTACCTGTCTCAGCAAATAGAGGGCTATTATCTTTAAAGTGTTCTGTGACAGCTTGCTTCTACTAACAGCATTTCCCTTCCTTCATCAAGGAGAACTACACTTAATTTTATTGTTTGCTTGCCTTTATTTATATTTTTATTACACATATATATTCTTAGATTGTATATATATATTTTTAATTTTATTTATTTGAGAGAGAGAGAGAGTGAGCACGGGCACGAGTGGGGGTAGGGGCAGAGGGACAAGCAGACACCCTGCTGAACAGGGAGCCTGGGCATGGGGCTTGATCCCAGGACCCTGGGATCACGACCCGAGCCAAAGTCAGACACTTAACTGATTGAGCCACCAGAGGCCCCGCTAGACTGTATATTGTCCAGTTTATATGTTTTTGAAGTTTATGTATGTGGTTTCTTATATATATTTTTTACTAACTTGCTTGTTAATATTAAGATACTGAGATTCATCCATGTTGCCATATGTAAAGCTCTAGTTCATTTATAGTTTTCTTTCTGTTTTCGGTTCTTTTTTTTACTTATTTATTTGAGAGAGTGAGAGCACGCGCACACAGCGGGGAGAGGGAGAGAATCTCAAGCAGACTCCGGCTGAGCTCGGAGCCCAGCTTGGGGCTCGATCTCACAACCCATGAGATCATGGCTTGAGCCGAAATCATGAGTCCAACGCTTAACCAACTGAGCCACCCAGGCGCCCCTATGGTTTTCTCTTTTATATCATTAGTATTCCATTTTATGAAATCCCACGGTTTAATTATCTGTTATGTTGACAGACATCTAAGTTACTTTCAGTTTTTGCTCTTGTGGATTATCTTGCTGCGGATGGTCTTGCTGTATGTCTCACAGCTGCACATGTGTGTGCATATGCACACTCACTCTCAGGAGTAGAATTGCTGTATCACAGGTTCAGTTTTCAGGGTACATCAAATTGTTTTCCAAAGTGGTTGTACCATATTACATCAGCAGTGTCAAAGAGATCCTGTTTATCCATATCCATTTCATCATATAACGTTCTCTCATTTATAAATTTTTCTCAATCTGGGGATATAAAATAGCATCTGATACAGTTTGTAATTTCCATTTCCCTGATTTGTTTACTGGGCATTCATCTTTTTCTGAGAATTCCTTGTTCATCTCCTGTGCCTGTTTTTTTGTTTTTTTAAAGGTACATTTATTTGAGAGAGAGAGGGAGTGCTTGCTGGCATGGTTTAGGCTGGGGGTGTGGGTAGGGACAGAGGAGTCTTAAGTAGAACCTGTGCTGGGCACAGAGCCCTCACAGCCCTGAGATCACGACCTGAGCCAAACCCAAGAATCAGCGGCCTGATCTCAGGGTCGTGAGATTGAGGCCCAGGTTGGGCTCTGTGCTCACTGTAGGGTCTGCTTGAGAGTCTCTCTCCCTTTCCCTCTGCCCCTCCCCCCACTCATGCATGCATGCTCTCTCTCTAAAATAAATACCTAAAATCTTTAAAAAATTCATTTGTAGGAGTTTATATATTTCAAGTGGCAATCCTTTGTCAGTT